AGACACCGTCTCTGTCACTGTCAAAGTCCTTCTAAAAGCAAATCTAAGCAGTTATCTTGGAAAGAATCCAGATGGTTATTTTGAAGTCTGCACTTAAATGAGGAACGAGCGCCATAAATTCAATTTCAGTGGTTACTGCAGCTCTGCACTCCAATTGAGTGTATAGAAACGCAGGTCAAATCTGATAAAAGCCCATTCAAAGGTTTGCACACTTTGACCCAAAATAAGGTTTAAAAATCACATTGTCATCCAATGAAGCCACTAACCGGATTCACATTATGGATGAGGGGAGCACAGTTGCTTCAGTCAGAGCCCAAGGAGCTCTGCGGGATGCTCCGGGAATGGTGGCAGCATTTTCCAGAGAATTCTTGACAACCTTCTCTTTGACCCTCTGCTTGTTGCTACTGCTGCATCAGTGCAACATGATCAGCTAATAGAAAAAGGGCAGCTGTGATCTTTAGCATTTCTATTCAGGATTCTTGGAGTGCCGCGTCTCCTCCTTATATTTCTGGTCATTATTGTGACTCTTTATTAAAAATGCATTTAAGTGAAGCTCACTGTAAACACTGTTAAGTTTGCTATCGTGCCTCAGCATGCTGGGGAGTCTCTGCTCACTCTTTAGAGCTGTTCAGCTGGAGGCTATGAGGTTTTTCCAGTACTTCAGCTTGTCTGGGAACACATGGTCACCTCCCGTTCGTCTTGTGTGTCTGGGTAGGCTTTCGCTCCTCTTTGCGTTGAGCTGTCAGTAAAGAAACTCACTGCAGTTTTAAGGATGTTTAAGTGCATCCCAGTCAGATAGCTTCTAGTATCTTTCTGACTCAGAAGCACTTATAAACCTGGGCTCTGAGTGTTTTTGCACTGGTATCTGTTTCTCCTAACCAAAAATCTTTAGCAACTACTAGAAAACTCTGGAAATAGTCAATAAATTCCCTTTTTTGAGGGGAAACTTTGAATTGCAGATACTTTATCTTCTTTGGAGTGAATTATCTCTTCCTTTCGACTAGTACGCACTGTTAAAAATAAATACATCTAACCTTACTGCCATGGCACCTCGGGGCAGCTGTGGTTCATAGTGGGTCATCCACTAATTGGAAGATCGGTGGTCTGATCTGTGGCTTCCTCCGACTGCATGTCGAAGGATCCTTGGGCAAAATACTGAACCCCAAGTTGGCCGTGATTCATCCATCAGAACGTGCGTTTGTGTGTGAATGTTAGGCAACGCACTCGAAGCATGAGGCTTGTAGTACAAAAACTCTCTGAGTGCTCAATTTGGGTAGAAAAGCAGTATATAAGTACAGTCTGTTTACCTCAGGACACTGTTTTAAAACTACTTAAAAGTGCTTTACACACACACCTGGGCACTATTTGTCAAACTGACATTCAGAAACGAGTCCACAGTTAATGCAACACAAAGTGTCAACTGTTCTCCAACTTATTAGTTTTACATTCAGTGCACACCTCATTGTTATTGTAATAAGTTCCTACTTGTGTATCATATATTGGATGTATTTACTGTGGGAACTTCAATAAGTTTGGCAAGAGCCATAATGTTATCTGTAATATACACACAAGGCATATCCCCTCCTCAGCTACGAGCGCAGCACAATGGTCAGGCCGTTATCTCTAATTAAGAAGTTGACTGAGGCATGAAGATTAGTCGGGCACAGAAAGCGCAGAGTGTCCAACGTGATCAGCATTACAGATTAATGCAGGGCACTCTGGGAAATGGAAGTTATCAAACGGAGCAGGAGGCTGAGTGCGGACAGTTATGGCGATGTGTGTGTCTGAAGTCACACCTTTGTGGCCATCTCTATGTGTGTGTGGATGCATTTGTACTTTCATTATCTAGCAGCTGACTGAGGCCATATAAGACCAGCACAGCAAAGACATAAGGCAACAAAATCAAACGCAATGCAAGCGTGAGAGAGTCGATGGCCATGCAGTGGGAGTGCTTTCAGCTAAATGCTGGTTAGTGGTTCAGTTGTAACATCATCCTTAGATATTGCATTCTTATATCACAGTACAGTATAAAATTGTACCATCAACATTAGATATTGGATTTTAATCATTTAAAATTTTCAACTATTATGAAGCGAAGGTAATCTGGATTCGCGTGCAATCACCACTTATTTTGTATTGAGTTATAAATCAACTGCACCCAATTTCTTTGCTGAAAGCCCAAAAAATTCAAGGCAATTAGGTGATGTGAAGAAGCGAAGTAAATCTTATAAAAGGTTGAAGATGAAGCAGTGGTTGTGGCCCATTCTTTTTTTGTACTCCTTTTATTTTTTTTTTCAGTCCCCGACTCGTGTTTATACCTTAGTCTAAGTCGCTGTCGGTGATAAGTAACCCTTATCGTAAATTTGGACACATAAATATATTAAAATGTACGATGTTTGGCTTTTGAAAAATATCCCAGAATCTCAACAATCAGAGGACGAAAAATAAAGATTCTAACTGAAACAGATAAAACTAGTTTTTTAAACAGGGTTCGGATTACTTGTCCTCATCGATAAAAACTTGGACTTCACATGATTAAATAAGCATTAGCAGCTTGATGACAGTTGCACCTTGCTTTAAATGAGTTACCTGGTCGATCTCTCCGCAGGGCCGCCCACTGTTCCTGCAGTCATCCAGAAATGTGTCCGTCAATATCGTCAACAACAACAACAAGCTGCTCACACAGCTCGTCACAGGTAAGACTCGGCCGGAGAAACGCGGATTTTCATTGTTTTCATTAGAATCTGCAAAGATTCACAGGCAGCGGTTAAACTGGAGTAGATCTGAGTTCCTTTGATTCTTCCCCTCAGGTTTATTCATGAACTATGTTACAGGAACTGGTGACGCCTTTTTATCTTCTATTACTTGACCTTCATTTTGCCAGAAAGCTGTTTGGGATTAAAACTTGTCTTAGAAGAGAGATGTGGCAAAGATAGCAGCTACGCAATGAGGCTCATTTAGGAATTGGACCAATTCTTTCAAAACCTCCGTCCATTCAGTTTCTCTATTGCTATCCAATTCAGGATGACAAAGGTTGGAGTCCATCCGGGCCGTGATAGGGTTAGGTGTGCTATATGCTGGACAGGTCGTCAGCCCATCACAAGGACAAGTTTGACATACTCTGCTCATGTCAGTGAAAGTGAAACCAGATAACAAAAATATAGCCAACTGGGCTAAATGGTCACATGATGGTGATTACCAACTTGTTAAGTCAACACCGAGTTTCACAGTCTAGCTGTCAGCATGTTCACACGAGAATGGCAGTGTTGGTGGATCTAACCAATCAGAATCAGAATCAGAATTCTTTATTGATCCCTAGAGGAAATTATGTCACAAACATGGACAGTTGTACTGGCGGCAAAGCTTTTATTTTTGTAAAATTACAGTTTGCACTATCTTTGTAAAATATGCAGATTGAACCCAAAACACAGCTTGTACAGCAGAGCAGCTGCTGCAGCAAAAGCTCAGCAAGGTTTGAGAAATCCTCCAGAAAAGGTGCTGATCAGAGAACCGATCGGTTTTGTACCTCGAATCTAATACTCAGAAGATAATCTACTCCAGCGAAGGTTGGCTCTTCAGCATAAGTTACCACAGAGTTACCACACTCCTTGTTAACCCTCTGTGCGTACCTCTTTTTGACTGCTTTGATCAGGTTTAGATTGCCACAGTCTCACATTGGTTGCAATAAAGACGCTAGCTCGTCTGCTATTAATAACGACTCACTAAGTGAAACTTTAAAACTGTAAATGGAGACCGTTCACGTATAAAGAAAAATTGTTTGCAGACAATTCGGCGTCTTCCATCCAAACTGCAGCCACAGCAGTCTGGTAACGACCAAAGCAATCAGAAGGAGGTTTCTGGTTCCATCTGTGCAACCTTCATCAACCAATCACCAGTCAGTCAGGGAGTAGACCTTTTACTACAGGCTTTAGTGTAAGCTCCATTACCCAACAAATAACTTCTAATAGCTTTTAAAATATTCACAGGAGATATTTCAAAGTCAGCTAGTTTGATCACTTCTCCATCACAGTGAATTTTTGAGGTCTGATAAGCTAAAATCATTCCATATTGCAAAGATTCAAGAATGTGAAGGGAACATTTGTTTAGCATATGTTCTTCTACAGCATGTGAAATATTTTGCAACTCCCAAATTTCTTTCTGAGAACCGTTTCTAATCCAGACTCTCATGTTTGAAGCAGCTGCTCCTGCTATCAGAAGTCATTGCCTTATTTATAATTAAGCATTTACACGTCGTGATTTTATTTCTCCTCTGATCCTTTTAAGTATGCCAGAAGAGGTCTCAGTTTCTCCTCCATTACTGTGATTGTGCTTTCTTCTTTACATCTCTTCATTCGCCACCTGTCACGTTGATCGAGTTGACAGTTTTTGGTGAAATCACTCGGCGTAAACATGCTCGGGAGGCGTCTCTCACATTAAAAAGCAAGCTGACATTTGCCTCCCGAGTCTGAAGAGGAGGAAGATGAAGTCTGCTCGGATGCGTTGATGACTAAGCGGCGTTGGTGTACGGGGAGGAACTCCACACCCCAGATGGAGAGTGACAGAATCAATTGTGCGCGTGTCAATCAGTCAGCCTCTGCGTTGGGTGTCTTCTACCACCGCGTGAGACAAAGCAATTTGGGATTGGGTGGAGTTGTCTACATTTTCTTGTTTGTTTTGACACCAGTCAGAGTTTTGTCAGCTGGCGCATAAGGATCTTTCCGGCACACGTTCAGTGAAATGTGTCTGGTTTGCACAACCGTGTTGCAGAGAGGATCTCTTCCACCAACAGGTCACAACTGGATGGTTGGAATTCTAAACGTTTGATCACAACTAGACTCGAGATGTTTCCTTGTTTATTCTGTTCAATGTAATATCTTAAACTGGCTTAGGCTGAATAATTCATGCTTTCTAATTAGATCAGAACTGTTTCTGTTTCTAATTTATAAACTAGGAATAGCAACAAAATTCCAAATAAAAGGAAAAGACAGTGACATTTAGTTGATATGTGACTGTTGCCTTATTTTCATTCTTCCTGTACTTCAAAGCCACTTGACATTGGCATTTACTCGTCTGCTCAATATGAATTAATGATCAGCAATTCCACTAATGGGATTAGGCATTGGTGACCAAACAACAATATCACAAGGCACTGCGATTAAATATGACATCACACCTGTGGCCTCTTTAGCAAAGGGGATGTCTATCCCTCCTTTGACTCTGGTTACATTTGATCAGAACACACAGTTAATCCGGTCTTTAAGTGATAAAAAATGACTGTTCATTAAGGCTGTTGTGTTCTTAACATATATTATGTATGAATGTATGTATGTTCTTAACATATATTAATGCTTTGTATCTTGTTCTATTTAATCTCAATAAGCCCCTCAAAACAGTCAGTGATCACTGTCGGCCTCTCTCGGTTTTTATTATCACTGTTCATTTTAAAGCTTCGTTTTTAAAACCTTACGATGTAACTACAGCCCAGCAGCAGTATATAAATGACTAACCTCGTATGATCTCAGTTGTTCTCCTGACTGAAGTTTGGTCCGTTTACAGCATCCTGCCATGCGATTGCATTTGTCCCTAACCATCGGGAACCCTCACATTAACTTTTATTGAATGGAAAAAAGTCAGCGTTCATCCTCCAGCTTCACTGTTTATGCTATGCTAACATAGCTGTGTTGCTAGCGATCATGTAGCATCATTATATACCAGCTAGCCCAACTTCAGTAAACCAACAAAAGCCACCGCTGTTTAATTTTCTGTCTTCATTTATGTTGGAAGTGATAGCAAAGCTGTACGTCTTAATTTTTTCAGAAATCCCTCAGTCAGAACATGCTATGTCATGTTTAGATGGAAGCTAGCGAGCTAACTTCCTGCTAACTTCTAACTCTGTTAAATGTAATAAATTCTGTTTTCATGGATGCCTGGATGTTAAACTTAGATGTTACACCTGGTAGAGATGTAACATTTTATTAAAGATGAAAGAATTTAGACAGTTTTTAACCCTCAGTGATGCCGCGGTGTTCATTTGACTTTGGGGCCTGCAGCTGAGTTTGGGCCCAGGCACAGCTAATGACGTCAGACTTAAAGACCGGATCAGTTTGTTGGACATTTTCTCAGCAGTCTCATGAATCACAACAAAATCAATATTGCAGGTTTGGTCATAAGTCCCACATCTTCCACCAGGGTGTTTTTTTTTTTAAGTTTTCATGTTCTCGGGTAATTCGGTAAGAAATCAGCTCCAGTCCCTCCTCTTTGATGTCTCCTCTCTCTTCTCTTCTCCTTCGGTTCAGGATCCAGTGGATTTAAAGCACGAGGCAAGATGTTTGAAGTGAAATCCACCTCTGGGAAGCTCCTGTTCTCCGCCGATGAGCAGGAGGTGGTGGTGGGCGCAGACCGGCTCCGAGTGATGGGTGAGTGGCCCACTTTAGGATCTAAAGTGGGAAAATGGCTGATGTGCGTGAATGCGTGGCCTCTTGTTTTATAGGTGCGGCTCTTGTTGCGATGTTGTTAATAAGGAGTTAAAACTGCTGTTTGTTGGTGGACTCACTTTTGGGAGGGTAAAAAGCTTTAACTTGAGATTCTTAGGACTTTTATTGTGGCCTTTTTAGGGGTTATCTTAGTAGTAACTGCTTTAGCTAAGATATACTACTTTCTTTCACACACAGAGAAACACACTGAGACGCACACATGCGTTTGTATCCAAGCTGATGTAATGTGTCAAACTGACATACAATAAATGCAAAGCAGAGTAATGTAATGCTTATATTAGCATCATAAGCAGTCGATAGTGAGAAGAGCAAGGCTCAGATCTCTGCTGGTTGTAGTCATGTATGCCAGGAGTAAGATGACAACTAGCAAAAAGGATGAGGAGGATTGTTTGTTTGTTTTT